ACCAGTTGGTAACAGCTCTGGTACTTGAATAACGTGTTCATACTCAGGTGAGTGGAAGATGCAAACAGAAGAGAGAAAATTCAGAGACCTGGAAAATACAACGTATGAAGAGTACGGGAGTGCTAAATAACTGCAGGATGGGTAAGTGGCACCTAAATAAAATGTGCCTTAGCATTTTAGTGTTTAATGTGCTAAAGATCAGTACGGAGATTTACAGTGCATTAGAAAGAAATGGTGGTAAGAACAACAGAATAATAACAGCAGCATTAGTAGAGCAGGTGGTCTTGTGAATGTCTTACGTGGCAGCTCATTGTAAAGCAGCACACTGAGCTTTAAAGCAACTTCAGTAAAGGTATTTCAAGCTAGCAATTTACGGTTAGCAATAACTCACTCAATTTCTTTCCATACCATAAAGAAGAACGAGAAATTAATTCATTAATTTACCTTCCGACAAGGAGAAACTAGTGGTACTGAAGGGCTATTTTTGGAACTAAAGCCAGCTGTAGGTCAAATTAGAATGATTTATTAGTATTATTCTTTTTATTAAGTTATTAGTAATATTGTATAGTGCTGTGTAATTAAGATCTTAATACCTACCCAGGAAAGCAATTCATCAATTGTTTTCAAATTAAGTCTGTATATTTTTCTAGCAGATATGCTACTGTTGAAATTGCTCATTGACAAATTTGTGTTCTACAAATGGTTAAAATAGGTGACCAAATATCTATGAATCTATTACAGCCTGAACAATAAGGCATGGGAATCAAACTAACTGCTCCTTGAGTAGAGCAGCTTAAGCAAAGCTACATTTAGAACAATGTCAGGTCAGATCCACAGATCCCACTGAAGCTGAGGTTCACGCAGAAGCTGCTGTAATGAAGAGGAATAGCAATTAGTCAGGGCTCAAGAACACAAGAGTGCCTCTGGAAAAGTTTAGCAAAATAAATAAAGGTCTTAGGAAGAAAGGTGAAGTGGAAGAACACAACAGGAACCCTTTCTCTGAAGCTTAATGGTGCAGATTGTTATGGAAGAGTATCAAACACTGAAAGGGATAAGGAAAACACAGAAAAAGTGTGAGCTGACAGTATAAACTGACATTGTGGGAGGAAAGGCCCTAGAATTGGAAATTATTCCGAGAACATTTCCCTTCTCTACCTGTTTTGCTTTGTGACTGAAAATGGTTTAGTTAGAAGCGACCTTCCTAGGGGAAGCAGCTGTATTTTGTTATATCTAGCTTTTGAAACTCACTTTACCGTTTTCATATTAACCTACAGAAAGGCAGAAAGATAAAATGAAAAGGTCTTGTAAGGCAGGGGGATGAGGGAGATAAGACAGAAAAGTACGATGAGTTCTGCCTGGCTATTTTTCAAATACATGGTGGGAGCGTGCAGCTTTTTTTCAAAGGTTGAGAATAGGGATCTTAAAGACACTGCCAATTAAGAGGAAAGGAAGCTGTGGGCTGATTTCAAATTCTGAGATGCACTGGGAGAGAGTAACCACAAGCAGGTCTGTGCATCCCAGATAGACAGGGGATCAGGTTGGGAAAACACTGAAGTTGACAATCAGAAGCTAAGATTACCTACCAGTAACCAGAGCCTGTAAGATGCATTGTCCACAGGTGCTTACATTGCTATGCTTCACTCACATGCTCTGTAGCTTCACACTCCTTTTCCACCAAAGCAATACTTAGAAGATATGCTTGATGCATGAATAAGTCACTAGCATGTGTCATACAGCTCAACCAATACCTCTTAATTGTAGAAGCTCAGAGAGCTATCAAAGGGCTATCAGAAGTGAGGAAGAAGAGGAAGTCATATGTACATAGGAACAGTAATTTTAAAGAATATCCATGCCTGGTAACTTCTTTCATCTTATTTGTATTGCAGGTAAATTCAAGTTACTGCTTGATGTTTAACTCCTCTGCTCCAATTCCGATTCCACATCCTCAGGTTCTACAAGGGGCTGTCTCAGAATCTTTCAGAGGAACAAGAAGTGGATCATAACCTTTGACATATTAAATACTTAATTTTTCCCATATTTATGTTGCCTGGTTCAGTTGCCTCAGGGTAGTTTATAAACAGAGGAAAGATTAAGTGTTGTAAAATTAATCCTTGCAGACTGCTACACTTTTAATCAAGAAAAGGAAGGAGTTGTTGGGTTGAAAAGAAGTGAAATCTTCAGAGTGGGGACGTTATTTTTCCTCTTCATCTGAGACTGAGGGAAAAAGATGAATGTGTCCTGTGTAACATTTTGAAGGCTCTGTGAACCTGCTGAATGACAGTGCTGAGTATGCCCTTGCATGGTTGAGCACACACCAAGCTTCATTACTGAATGCAATCCAAATTCACTTGGGCAGGCCAACAGACATATAATCCTGAATTCCTGCTTCCACTTGTCTGTAGTTCCACAGGACACTGGCTAAAAGAGAGCCAGAGCTTAAAGCCAATATTCAAAAATGGCACCTGCCCACTATCTTGTACAGCTCCATTTAGTAGTGGCAAGACAGCATTCAGCAGTAGAACAAATGTCATGGCTGCAGTGAACTAAGTTTTGAGACATGCAACTGAAGTTGGTTTTTTTCCTGTCTGCTCAAAAATTGCTGATTTATGTCTCCTTTAATCTGCTTACATTCCAGGTAACATATCAGCTATCCCTTAAAATTTGTAACCAGAAAATACTGTGATAAAAACTACTGATTGTACATCTTAAACCAATTTTATGATCACTCAGCCAGCTACTTTTGCTATAAGCCCTATAGGAAATGCGATGGAAGTGGTGGGTACTGGAGGGTTGAGTGCTTACACTGACCCTTCACACGAACCCTGTTAAGAGAGAATCCTAACACACGCCCTTGACGGCACCCTAACCGTACACATATAAATGTGTATGTGACAGGCCCCAGATTAGCTGTCACTACCCAGTAAAGATAGTACAGTCATCACTACTGGAAATCTCAATGCTTAGCATTAGTAAGAAATGTAGCAACAGGAATGTTTCAGAAATGAATAATGAACACCAATATCTCACCACAGAAATGTACGGTGAACAAACTTTGAAACCCTGCATGTAGTTTGAATCATCTTCCCTCAAAAATGGAGCATATGAACAAAAAGGAAGCACAAGAAAGTCAACAAGAAAAAGTCAGAGGCACTCAGCAGGTTCTGTGCAAAGATTCTACAGACCAAAACTGCTTATCTTGGAAGGCAGATGCATCGGGGGAGTGAACCGATACATAAAAGACCAGAAGCTATGAAAACGGTCAAAGGGGTAAACAAACACTTCTTGGGGAAAAAGGCTCTGGAGCCCAGTTAAATTACTAAGCTAAAAAAAGTACATACTTTCAAAAAAGCATAATTAAATCTTGCAACTCTGTCAAAGGATGTAGTAGAAGCTCTAAATACAATTACTTTCAGCATCAACATGATGGACTTGCAGTGAGCTTCACAGTCTAATGACAAGCACCATAAAATATCCCTGACTGTATAAGGCTACAGCAGAGAGCAGAAGCTAAGCATGTCTGAAAGAAAACAAAACCAAACCCCTGCAGTTGTCTGGGTTTTATATATATATACATATATAAAATGTAATATATAATACATGGCAGGTATAATATATACATCCATAAATATATCAATGTGAGATATACTCTCTCGATATATTTATGTATCTGATTCGTATTAATAAATGAAAACCTCTATGTTTGCAGATACACACAATATATGAAAATTCTGTTTCAGAAATTCTGAAATTGCTGTACAGTAACAGCTAAATTTTGATTAGTTGAACAGAATTCTAAGAGCTGACAATTACAGCTTTTAATCAACTGAAGACCTTCTCTTGGTGGAAAACAAGCAAGAATCTGTAAGTGGATTCTGAATCTACATAAATGCAATTTTGTGGCCCATATAAAAAAAAATTCCCTACTTGGAAAAACTTGCCAAAAGAAGTCGTAGTCTCCGTGCATAAAATCCACATAAAGGATAAAAGTTTTCAAATGTAAGTTACTGGAACTGATTTGCCAGATCAATTTACAAATTCTTCCTGTCCTCATGTGGTCTAAAATCTGGATTGCTACATATTTCTTAATTTTACTCTGTAATTTTTGTGCAAATCATTCCTCTGATTTTGGCTGAATATTGCTTTAGGTTGATTGTGATTAATAAAAGAGGAAATTCAAGAAACAGAAACAATGTTTCATAGACTCAAACCAAACAAAGGTTCAGCATAAGATGTAGAACTCTTAGTGTAGTTCACTGCATTGGAAATGACTGAAGCTATTGCATTACACACAGCCAAGTCTTTGTCTTTTTGATCTTTAACTAATTCTAATTGCTGATATACACACACACAAATGACGGAAACAGCTATAACTAACCATTCAGAATGGGTTGTATGCACGGAGTACAACAGAAGTGCAGAAGAAATTCTGCACAGCAGGAA